TTTTTTTTTTTTTTTTTTTTTTTTTAATCATTTCTAGTTCTTAGAAATGAGAGTGTGAGAGGAGAATGTGGTCCCTACCAGAAATAGGAACAGGCTTGGTGATAACTGTTTCCTAATAATCTGAAGAAGGCTGGCAGGGTGAGAGTTATTGTGATTATAAAAAGGATTTACAGGCTTTTGAAAGGCAAGCTAATTGAAATTCTTGGAAGAAGTAGACCAAGAAATCCCTTACCTTGTTCTCCTGAGTAGTGAAGGGTAATATATTGATAACATGGTGTTAGACTTTTATTTAATAGTAATTATTAATGAGGGTACTAACAATACCAAAAGCTTTCTGCGATGCTTAAGAAGGTAGCACTGGGTCTTTGCCCTGCGCAGCCTCACGGAGGATTTTCTGCTGTTTTCCTTTACCCCCGAAGCAGCAAGAGAAAGCTGGATACAGTCCTTGACTCACTGCCAGGCAGAGGCCCAGCAAAGCCACCGCTACATCATTAGCCCAGAAATGGCTACACTCGTCCATATTCCACCATTCCGTATGGTCCATATCCCAGCAGGACCTTGATAAAGCCCTCTCTGTCCCCTTCTCCAAATAACAGGATATTGACTGAAGTAAGGAGTTAGTTACAGGAAAAGGACTCATACTCCTACTGTAGGCTGCCTAAATCTCATTGACCCCTTATCCAGAAGGGAAAATAATATCATACTCGTTCTTGATATTTTTTGGTAACAGTATTTTCAGGGGAGCAAATGGCACTACTCATCACTATTCTGCTGACCCCAGTCTCCTCCTGTTATTGATCATGGCTTTTCCCTCAGGCAGAAAGCCAGCAAATTATCACTTTGAATAAAGAGTTAAGGCCAAAGGTAAGGAAAGGGAATGAAGTACTGTATAAGAAAGTGAGATTAATGGCAACAGCAGGCACACTGGGAGAACAGCATTAGGGCCACTGTGTTTTAATGTTGGTCTGGAGAGGGAAAGGTCAGAGCAAGAATATACAGACTTCTTCTAGAAGTAGGGGAAGAGTCAGGCCTTACGTGATAGAGTCCCTGAAAATTCTCTCTTCTCCATCTGCCAACTTTTGCAACCAAGTAAGTCTATCAGTCTAATCTAAATACAATTAAAGTGTGCAAGAGAAGAGACATGCTTATATTTGAGTTATTCTCAAAATAAGCACAGCACAGGAGATAGTAAATCACCTACAGTTTAGAGATACAGAAAAAGATAAAAGGGTTGCCTTTTCTAGGAAAAAATGATATTTTTGTGTTCATACGGCCTTCACTACCCTACCAGAAAGTACCTTTTTATAGTGCCACCTTCTTTTCAGCCCATTTATCTTTGTTTCTCTAGTAACTGCATAGAGCAGTTAAAATTTTGGCAGGTTCTGCCCATGTTGTACGTTAGGCAACCTCATACATGCATTTTTCCCCATAGTTAAAACAACGCTGATGTTTCAGTTTACTCATTTCAGTCGGATCATAAGAACCCTGTTAACACTGGAGCACAGAGCAAGGCAAACACTGCTTCAGCTGAACCGGCAGCAATTTCACCTCAGCACAGACAAGGCCCAGTGGAGATGAAACCCTCCCTGCTGGGTGAGGAAAACCTCTTAGCTTAACTCTTTGTCGAAGCGCATCTGTGGAGGAAAGTGCCTTTCAAAAATTACCTGCCCTGTCCTCGGAAGACTGCAGGATTTTATTTATGGTTCCTGAAACTGAGGTGGTCAGGGAAGTGAAGTAATGCTCATCTAAAACTCAGTTGTGTTTAACACTGTTAAGGTGCAGCTTATTATTTATAAGGTATAATGTCTTTCACAAAATAGGCAAAGTATGCCCTTGGTTCTGTGCATCAGTATGTCATTATTTCCCCGGATACAGGGAATTCTGGAAGAGCTCTAATAGAAGGGGCTGAATCACCCTCAGAAACATGCCCTTTTTATGCTTACTGTCTACGCTATAAAAAGCAGCAGTGTTTGCAGTTTTAACAGGAAATAAATGAAAACTAAAAAACAATCCTGCATCACAGTCAAGCTGAGGATAAAAAATAACTACACACTGCCCTCTGGCTCGTGAATTGCTACCGCACAGAGCTTGCCTGTAATCATCACCACAGACCACTGAGACTAAGAGCAGGCCCCCAAGCCTACTTGGTACAGTCAGGACATGCAAGCAAAATTAATACCTACATCACCCAGTAGAGTAGCTGGGCGACCTTAAAGACAGGGGAGAATCTACAGTGAGACTGTAGGGCCTTGCCCCTAAGCCAGCAGGGAATGGAGCTGTAGTACCAGAATCAACTCAACAAGTATCAAAATAATTTCTGGAGATGCTCACGCAAAGATAATCCATGTKAAATAGACAACAGCTCTCTCTAGTAAGCAAGCTGTAGCCCTCAGTGAGGCATGCCATTCATGCATTGGGCTAGTGCACAGAAAAGAAGGAGGAAAAAAAAAAAAAAAGCCTGCTGTTTACAGTGTGTAAGACCAATTTATATTGACAAAATGTTGCAGACTGACAGTCCTGCATTGCTTCACTGCATTTCAATGCACTATAGTGCCTTACAGTGAAGCTCCACTCTGCTGTAATTGGGTTCCACTGTGCTAATCCCCTTGGAATGCATCAATTAATACTTATTTAGTGATAATTGCTGCATTCCGAGGGGATTAGTCTGTCCCCTGCATCTTTGCCAGCACTGCAAAGGGAGAGCTGGAAAGAAGAGAGCGCCCGACTCCAGGTCCGGCTTCGCAGCTCCCAACAGGGAGCAGGGAGGACTTGGTCTCACTACAGCTGCTCCCCTGTGCGTGCGAGAATACTGCTTTTCCAAGGCAACCCCACTTGACTGTCGCTATTCCTCACAGCTGCAGTGTGCAAATAGAAACCCTGCCACATCTAAAGGGAAAGAATAAAAGAAAACAGACACCTGTGCGGTGCCATAAAGACAAACATGGCCATGAGTGTACATTTCCTATGGGAGATAATAAAGAGACCCTGATGCAGTGTAAGGATGAATTCCTATTTATTATTTTG